CAATGTAGTTGATCATCACATCTCATTCTAAGCAGAAATACAGTAGACTCCCCTATAACATGGGTTCATATAAGACGGATTTGTATAACACGGCAAAAAATTGCGACGTGTTCGTATAACATGGTAAAACATCATCGCCAACTCGTGTCACGACAGGATTAGTCAAATCTGGACCAATAGTGGATATTGCACAAACCGTTGAGTTTAAATGAGCATTGGACCTACTAAAAAAACATTTATTATTCAATGGCCATAGAAATTATATTTTTATTAATGACGTCTCCAAAGTTCAGCGAATTTTTCGCAGAAAAATAACTTATCGGAAAACACGCGCCCACCATTTGATGAACCACTCTGCGATGAAAACAAGCTTAAGCAATGGCATCGTTGAACAGTCCACACTCGGTAATAATCCTACAATTTTTTGTTTATAGCATAGTTTATATGGATTATTCCCAAAAAATTATGTGTGTTTTGGAAATGTTGAGTCAAATTAGTCTAGAATCGAATAATTTTATGGAAGAAAATCTTTCAAACAACCGTAGTCCCTAAACTGCACACATGCTGGGCTGTGATTGGCTCGTGTATTTAAGTGACTCGTACAACACGGAATTCATATAACACACAATGTATCTACCGTGTTATAGGGGGTCTACTGTATTATTCATTTTATTCAGTTGTCTGTTAGACATGCAAAGAAAATGAAAAGAATGATTTCCTCATCCATCTAAGTGAAGAGCTAACCAAATCATAGATCGGTTCAAGCTCTGAATGAGATATTTGGAACCTTATCAGAGCTACAGAGCATATCTATAGGAGGAAAAAAAATCAAAGAAACCATACCTTTACAAGCAACCCTTCACAAAATACAGCTCCCAAAATCAAGCCACGCAAGATTGCAAGTTCTGTTGCACTGCTAAGACAATTGCATTTAACTATTTAGCCCATGTGACTATGCCAGCTTTGAATAACACACTTGACAGTTCATGGAGTACTTGATGTTATATAGTTTTGGTGCAAGCGATAGTGAGCACCAAAGTGCACAACTACATGTGGAGTGTCAGTCAAGGAAGCAATAGTGAGCCTTGACAACATGGAGCATGGAGAATAGGCAGTATACAAGTTAAAAACTGACCTTTGGAAGTAAATATCTCGTGAAGGGTTGCATGTACAGGTTTGGTTCCTTTGACTTTTCTGCTTATACAAGAGGGAGTCTACAATTTGCAGGGGGTTGAAAAACCTCTCACTTGGAGCTTGAACCTTACCACAAAGAGACTAGAATGACATATCTTGTAGACACAATTGCACCTTTTCATAGAAAATGTTTTACAAAAAGAATTCTACCATTTTCAGAGTAAATCCTACTCTGGAAACAAAAGAATAATTTGCCACATCTGACTTTGGAAAAAAAAATTAAATAATAACTATTACATATTGCAAATCAATGTGTTAATTGCTACAAATAAATTTTATAATAATAATAATAATAATAATAATTCAATGTCTGAACTTGCATCAAAATTAGTATATTTCATCAGATATTTGATACATTACCATCAGTCAGTATTCTAGCATAAAATTGATTAATAAGATAAAGTCATAGAAATTATGAAGCTTTGTGTTCCTATACAAATGATTTATGCTTTACAATCTAGGGCTAAGAATCTCTGGCGTACACAAAGGATTGTAATTATCAATTCTCTTAGCAAATATCATACAGAAAGAAATAACAAAGACCCAAAGAACAAAACAATAATGAAACGTAAAATCAAAAAGTCACGATTCACGTGATTTTAATAAAATTGTATATTTAGTGCATAAATATGCTATTCTTTCATAAATAATTAATATCACAAAACAAATAATCATTTCACTTCAAGAGTATATGAAACTCTTTCATACTCAAATTAATTCAAACAAATATAAAAACAAACAAAACGAATAATAATCTATCTAATAAACTCCCATCAACCTTTAAATGACCAGTAAAATATTTAAAAGTACTACAAACATTTTCAACTGTTATTTCCAGTCTTCTTCAGGTTAAAAGTTCTGAGATTTGAATAGCAACTGTGTCTGAAGATTTAAACTATTATTTTCAGAACCCTAACCAAAAGTGTGTTCACACACAATACAAAATTCGACGAAACATTGGTAGAATTACAACGCATTCAGTACATAGCCTCACGACATGGATATGGACGAGGATTAATTCATAAACTTGCATGTGCCTATTTGTCACAATTATATAATATTGTATTAACAACAACAACTCAAGCATTAGCAACTCGAACAGTCCACAATCTTGGACTGTGGTTCATTATAACCACTACCTAGACCCTATTTATAGAGAAATTGAGGCAATTACAAACCAAAAAAGTTGCATATAAGAGGCATAGTACTATTTATGACTTCCTCTGCAACTGTAAAGATCGCATAGACATAAGATTGGCTCCTGGTGTATACTCGGTTCCATTAAGGGAACATAGATTTCAAAGGAACCTTGTATATATTGGCTCTACGATACGTTCTCTAGATAAGTGTCTACTTGAACGTAGGTGTCATTGAACATAATAGAGGCACCACTGCCTTATCTACTTATGCTTTGACCCCGGGCATAAGAGCAGACCTGTATAATGAGCAAATAATTAATCTATCACGTCGAAGAGAACATATATGTTTGCTAGAAACTCTCAAAATATACAAAGCTGGGTTACACAATAACTGCATCAACTCCAAGGATGTAATTATTATTTCTAATACTTGGAAGCTCTATTATGAATGCGAAGACCCCATTTAATCCGGATCTCCACTGTTTTTTATACGTGTGTGTAAAAAAACATATTGATATATTCTTTCGGTTGTATATGCTATACTTAGTACGCACGCACAGTATGAATCTCTATACGCAACTGTTCATACATTCTAAAAATAGTTTAAATCTTCAAGCACAAGTGCTATTCAAATCTCAGAACTTTTAACCTGAAGACCAGAAATAATGGTCAAAAACATTTGTAGTACTTTTAAATATTTTACTGGTCATTTAAAGGTTGATGGGAGTTTATTGTATATTATACCAATACTTATTAACGAGTATTGTTAACCTGTATATAATCCATCTAATTTTAGTCTTGCATTACACCAAACGAGTAAATGTTTGGCTATATTTAATTTTACTCCAAATCATTTTTAAAAAACATTTTGTTTTAGAATTATGTAAATTTGCACCAATAACAATTCAATCAATATCTACAGAAGACATAGATACTATTATCTTTCAATAGTTTTGATAACTGAAGTGAAATACTTATGGCTTTTTTTACTTCACTAATAGCAAGCTGCTGTTATATATATATATATATATTTATATATTTTGATTAATATTTGATTTTGAACTCTAAAAGAACAAAGCTTAAATTGCTTTTTAGAAATTATCAAAAATTATTACCAAAGATCTACATATGATAAAGTAAACAATTTTTAATAGCATAATTGTGTGAATTTATTCTGAAAAGAAATTTCTGGAAATTTTTTTCAAAACTTTATATTTTCATTAAAAAGAAGTAAATTTCAAAAACTGGAAAGTAATATTATGCATTATTTATAAAACACTTCAATATTTCAAATATTGAATTCATAAGTTCTTAGAAGAGAAATCTGAATTAATCAATAAATTTAAAAATTTCTTAATCAAACATTTAAAACTAGTTAATTTTTATTAAATTAGTTTCACAGTATGTTCAAAAAATTAAAGTTATACACAAATTAAAAAGCAAATACTTTCAAGACAGATTAACATATATCTTACTTACGTTTTCAAAAACTATGTTGGAAACAAAAATATTTACAAATTAAGTTTCATAGAAATTATTCATTCAATTCAGTTATGTTCTTTTACTGTTGCTATGGCAACTAATCATTACTAGTAAGTGAAACAGAAATAAGTGAATTTTATATATACACACACACACACATTTTGAGTTATTGATTAAATATAACTGCAAAAATATACTTTTTGATTTTTGTGTAAGTCATAAAATGTTCTTGCATCTTACTTTTGTTAGTATCCAATTCTCTTGGTTCTATACAATTATAACTTTAATGGTATTTTCCTTCTGGATGATACAGGTATACTATCTAAGAGCCCACATTGTAGTCTTTCACTGAGATCTACCATCTAACAAATTTCAACATGATTTAATTTTCATTTGAGTATTTTAAATACTAATATTACCTCGGTGCTCACAAGGCAGAAAGAGTTAATATTTGAACAGTACTTCATTGCTTTTCTAGTTTTAAAAAAACAAAGATAATTACGACTAAATAGTGCATAATATCTTTAATTCTCACATTCTACAGTAGTAGTATTCAATGTTTTTTGCATACCCCCAGATATAATTTAACACTATCTCAAGATTATTAAGGATGCACGTTTTCAATTTACTTGTACATAAATTCTTGGATAAATGGTAAGGATACATAATTTAGGATAAAATTCTAAGATAATCTTTAAATGTATTGAATTTTAATGTAATATTTTTTAATAATTAAAGTTTTAATTTTACAAATATATATTACTTCCTATCGTATAAATAAAACTATTAAATAAAGATATCCAAATGTTATAATTCAGGTCTAAGTAAAAGTTAGCTTTTGACAACTTTGCTAAGACATCAAATATTTTATCAAGTATGAATTAAAAANATATATATTTATTTTATTTTATTTATTTTAAATTCAATACCTTATTTCAATATATATATGTAGTATATAATATGTAGTATATATACAGTATATATATTTATTTTAAAATCAATACCTTATTTTTTTATTTTTTAAACATTTTTCCTCAAATTTATACCTTCTTAACGTAATACATACATTTATATTTATAAATTCTGCCGTGAAATTACTATCGGTGAATACAAACATACGAAACGTAACAGAAAAACGAATTCGTAATAGCGTGATTTATCTCTAGGCTTAAACACTATTCTTACCAAACAGTTGAGAAAGTGATGTCATAAGCGTGTAATAATTGTTCTTGGTCGATGGAAATGGACATTTACCTTCGATTAATGCCAATTTCAAAAAGAATAGCTAATGTTTAATATGTTAAACTTTTATTTAAGTCAAAATAAATAGTTTCTGCTACCATCAGTCAGTATTCTAGCATAAAATTGATTAATAAGATAAAGTCATAGAAATTATGAAGCTTTGTGTTCCTATACAAATGATTTATGCTTTACAANTTATTTAGATAATTAAAATTTTAATTGAATATTTTTGTTATTGTTATCTTGATTGACGGTCGGCGAATAATTTTAGAATATTTCGCAATGTTTCTAACTAGAGTACAGTACTGTATCTATATTATCACGATTTATTCAGTTGAAAACATCGTAATAGTATTATTACTTTTTGTAGTAAAAAAATAAATAATTTTTTTATACAGCATTATTTTTAAAACGTTCAAGTAGGCTAAAATGTCAATTAAATTCTATAACTGCTTTTGGCTAATAAAGCGGCCAAGGTAGCATCCTACCGCTCTGGAGGACCCGGGTTCGAATCTGGACGGATCGATGAATTCCCAGAAATTTTTCGGGGGCGAGTCCGCCTGGATATGTTGGTCCCACGTCTCTCATCACCCGGCCGTTACATTGTTGGCCTGACCAAACCATAATGGGCTTGCTAAAAGAGGCCCTCTTAGTGCCCACAGGGCGGAAAGAGTTAAAATAAAAAAGTGTACGATTATTAGAAATAGATCGAGAATTAAATTCCAACTCTCTGAGAAATTCATTGTATTATTAATTAATAGGGGAAGTATACATTAATTTTTAATTTGAGCAGTGGCATAATGGCATTAAGATACTTTATAAAATTTAAATAAATTACTGTAAATAATGTTTTATTTTTCTACCATGCCCATCGTGGCATCAATCAGGACCGACGTATCCAGAAACTCTACGAAAAATTTCTGGAGAGTTTGCTCGTCCTAATTTTACAAATAGTCGCGGCTATCCGCCTGTCGCGATTTCAGTTGTTTAGGTATTTGAAGAGATTCAAATAACACTAGTGTTGATTTACGTAGAAATACAGCAAGTCATAATCGGATCACTTTTACTACAACGTTTCGATTAAATTTTACTTATAAATCATTCGTTAGCGTACAACACTGTATACCAAACCAATACATTTTTCCGTAGAACGAAATGGTTATCTCATAATATCTCATATGAATGAGAAAGCATCTTCAATAAAAAAAAAAAACATACGGAATGAATAACGAAATGAGCAGTTTTTTTTTTTACTTTCTAGATTCTTCATCGCAGTCAATGGAAAATGGCAAAGTGTAATCAAAATCGATCATCAAATTTTGAGATCAAACAGAATTCTGTAAGCTATATAGAAAAGGCCTCGCTAACATTCGCTTCAAGTGAATGTTAGCGAGCAAGCATGTGGTGGAGGAAGCAGAGCTTCTTGCATACTGTAGCGCAAATACTAAACAAGTCTAAATCCAGCTCTATATGGTAGAGACTAACCAAATATATATATAAATAAATATATTTATTTATTTAGTGCCCACAGGGCGGA